CGGCGGCCCCCGAGTCGTCCCCGCTGCCCTCGTACTTGCCCAGTGCCGCCAGCCCGTTCACCTGCGGGGAAAGGAAACGTCAGTGGTCCCCGTAGGGTACAGCCCTCGGGGTCCCCCAGTCTCTGGGGACACAGCCTTCAGGGTTGGGTCCCCCAGCTCATGGGAACACAGCCCTCAGCGTCCCCTGTGCCCCTGCAACAACACGGCCCTTGGCATCCCCCTCCCACGGAGACAGAGCCCTCAGCATCCTGCATCTCACCGGGCACAACCCTTGGTGTCCCTTGTCACTCCATGGGACGTGGCTTTTAGCATCCCTCTTCCCACAGGGACACTAGCCCTTGGCATCCCCCATTCCCCTGTGGGGACGCAGCTCTCACTGTCCCCTATGGAGACAGCACTGTGTCCCCTCCATGGGGACAATGGTCCTTGGCATTCCATGTCCTGTAGGGCACAGCCCCTGGTGTCTCCTGTCACCCCGTGGGACATGCCCCTATGCCAAGGGGCACAGTCATTGGTGTACCCCCTCCCACGGGGACACAGCCCTCGGCATCCCTACCACCCCAGGGGATGCAGCCCGCAGCACCCCGCTCCCGTGGGGGTCACTCCATCACCTCTGCACGCTTGATGAACTCCTCGGTGGCAGCGGTGGCATTGTCCTGCTGCCCGCGCCAGGCACTGAGCGCCGACGCCTGCAGTGCCCGCCCGTAGGAGAAGGTGAGGGCCCACGGCCGCACCAGCGGGCACGTGTTGATGGCGTTGAGGTTGATGGAAGCCTCCTCCTCACTCTGACCCCCGGACAGGAAGGTGACACCTGCAGAGAGCGGGGTTATGGCACCGGTGGGGCCACAGGGCGTCCACCTCCTGGTCCCTTCCACGTCCCGGTGCTGGTACCTGGCACGGCTGGGGGCACGGTGCGGCGCAGGGCAGTGACAGTGGCCATGGCGATCTCCTCAGGGCTGTACTTGGTGGGGCAGGAGTGCCCGGGGGTCACCATGTTTGGCTTCAGCAGGGTCCCCTCCAAGTAGACGTGGTGGTCGCTCAGCGCCTTGTAGACAGCTGCCAGCACCTGGAGAGGACAGACGGCGTGGACTCCCCTGGCACAGCACGGCACAGCGTGGCACGGTGCCTGCCCTGCTGCCCACCCCACCGCTCACCTTCTCCGTCACATACTGGCACCTCTTGAGGTCATGGTCACCATCAGGCAGGATCTCCGGCTCCACGATGGGCACGATGCCGTTCTGCAAACATCAGGCAGATGCCATCATGGGGATGTCCCTGAGTAGCTCCCTGGCCCCATGGAAATGAGGGCCAATGCCTGGAGCTGGGGGGCGATGCCCAGCCCCGATGTTCAATGCCCACCCTTGCCGATGATGCCCATCCCAGTGGGGTGATGCCTGACCCCATGAGGCGATGCCCAGCCTGGGAGGGTCAATTCTTGGCCCCATGGAGCAACGTCTGTGTTTGTGGGGTGATGCCCACCCCATGGGGCAATGCCTGGTCCTGGGGGTCAATGCCCACCCACATGAGGCATTGCCCAGCCCACAGCTGATGTCCAGCCCCCTGAGGTGCTACCCAGGCACAGGGGCAATGCTAAGCCCATGGATCTGTGCCCACCCCTTTGGGGCAACACCTGGCCCCTTAGGTCAACACCCATCCTATGGGTCAATGCCCATCCC